CCCCCCCCCCCCCGAAACCCCAATGCTTCAAATTTTGGGTCTTGAAGCCGAAGATCTTTCAAGCGACTGCCTCAACTCCTCTGACAAAAGTCGCTGGTGCTGGCTTGGCTGAGCACTTTTGTCAGATGGTGGCTCACGTAGCAGCTCTGTATGGCTCTATCATGGCATATCGTGTCATGTGAAAAGATGATCCTGTTTTTGTGATACATCGACTTTTCCGCAAGCATCACGGCTGGATGTGCCAATGGCCTACTACTAGATCCTAAAGCCCTAAACCCCAAACCCNNCCCAAACCCTGAAACCTAAACCCTAAGCCCTAAACCTTAACCCCTAAGCCCTAAACCCTAAAACCCTAGGCCCTAACCCCAAAACCCTAAACCTTAAACCCTCCCTAAACCCCTAAACCCTTAACCTCTCTACCTATGGTAATTTAAACTTTATAGTCTTCGTCACGCGTGGGTCATATTTCCTGGCCTTGGATCATATTTTGTGGCTTTGGTCAGGGGCGGTCTCAGGGTTGGGTGGAGAATGACAGGATCCTTATGGTTAACCGTTTCGGGTTTAAGGCTCTGGCCCTTAGGTTTAGCGTTTAGGGCTTTGGGTTGGGCCTTAGGATTTACGGTTTAGGGCCTGGGGTTTACGGTTTGGGGCGTTGGGGTGGGCGGGTTGGGCTCTAGATTAAAAACGAAATTAAGTTTCTAATGTTGGGGGATTCTTTGGGCGGATGGGTATTTTCTTGATACTTCATAGCCCAGCTATTCGGAGCTGCTGAACCCTAAACCCTAAATCCTAAAACCCTAAACCCTATACCCTAAACCCTAAAACCCTAAGCCCTTAAACCCCCTAAACCCTAAAAAATTAACCCTAAAACCCTAAACCCTACTCTATAGTGTTCAGGCACTGCTTTACCGGCTGAACGAGCTTGAGGGGGCCAGAACGGCTATGGGTGAGGCTCCCTTGGGTGCAGAGTCCCAGCTCTTGGGGTTTAGACAAAGGATTTAGGGTTCAGGGTTTAGGGGTTTGGGGTTTTTAAGGGGCGTGGGTTCAGGGATTAGGGGTTTGGGGTTTTTGGGGGCTCGGGGTTTAGGGTTTTTTTATTGGGGCGTGGGCTTAGGGTTTGGGGTTTAGGGGTTTAGGGGCTTGGGTTTGGAACTCGGGGTGCGAGTTCAGGTTGAAACTTTTGTTTATGAGCGAGGGCTTCGGACGGTCAACTTGCTTGAAGACTGAGTACTTCAGGGCATAGGCTCCTGATATGTAGTATTCTGTTTTGCAGGCTACCTTTGGGAACTCCTCTGCACAAAAACCCTGAAGCATATGTAGACCAGTGAAGGGTCTGTGCCAGATTCCGGGATGTTAGACTTCAAGAAGGCTATGAGCCTCAATGCTATTTTTGTCCTTTCACCTCCTGCCCTGTTTTTGCGGTGCATCAGGTGCATGCTGTGAGACGACTTAAGTGGAGCCAGTTGTTACGTAGGGAACCAACTTGATGAAGACGTCAAGCGTTGGTGGATCTGCTCATTGATTGCTTGATTGGTCGCTTGATTGATTGAACGACTGACGGCATTCAATGATTGGTTTGCTTGCCTGATTTTTTTGCTGACTGAGGGCTTGGTGAGCTGGATGCTTGCCTGCTTGGTTAACTGCCGCTGGCGATGCTGCCGATGAAGGGAGGGCAACATCGTGACTTTTGCTTCAGTTGCATTGACAACCATACTGCATAGCACGAGTTTGTGAGTGGTTCTTCGAGGCTAGTAGATTGCATCAGGAAACTTCTTTCGGAGTGGCTTCTTCCGTTTTCGCTTGCAGCTGATATTTCCCTAGTGCCATAGAAGGCCACCAAACTCCCAATCGAGGCTCTCATCAATCTAGTTAGTTGCTCTGCAGCAAGCATATATGAGGGAGTCGCGCAGAAATACCTCCGAAGCAGCAGGTCTCTTTCCGGCTATCACCCTAGACTCTAGACCCCAGCACATCACAACTGCATCAAAGACCTTTTGAGCTCAACTTTACCATTTTGCCACATTCCCCTGGGCTCCTTGGGCCTTGACCTCCGAGAGGCCCACGAAATACTGACCCTTAGACAGCCTGAAGGCTCTGCAGATTAACAGCGAGATTGCGCTGGCCCGGGCCCCATCCGTTTAGCGTGTCGGAAGGTGGGAAGGTGAGGCTCGATGCGTGGAGGTGATGGAAACTGCAGACTCATAACTGGATATGCACCATGTAATGTTTCGGCTTGTTTGAAGACCTTCGGCCGGGGCAGGAACAAGTATTATGCAGACCGGCGGTGATTTAGGTTGGATTCGGGGGGGGGGGGCTGTGATGAATTCGAAATCGCTCGCAGGCCATGCCCTGTACTCCGAGAGTCTTGCCTAATGACACGGAGGGTTGGGGAGTTCCGCACTCACCAGCCGATTTTGGAGTCCAAGAGTTCAGAAGGGTTTCGGTGTAGGGCTCTCATGGGCTCTCTAGCCGGAAGCGATTCGTTCTTGGCGGGGTGGTTACCGCTTGTAATTGGGATCTATAGGAGGCTGTGGGCAGTGGCAAGGGATGGAATGGAGAAGAACAGCAACAGCAACAGTAACGGCCTGTGACTGCAAGTAGAGGTTCCCCTACAGCAACAGGCCGGCAGCTCTGAGAGACTTTCGGCATGCTCTCGTGGCGCTACTCTAGATGCTGGAAAGATGCCCCAAAACGCTTTAACCCTAGTTGAAGAGGCCAGTGACGAGCTGCTCCCTGGTTTCACGAGCTTCGCCGTACGACCCAGAGGACCGGGATTTCTGTTAGTTGGGGTTATATTGCTTTTGAGGATTTGGCCTTGTCAAGGGCTCTGGGAGTTCGGCATGTTCTGAAGCGTCTTGGTGGGCTTTGCTGGCCTGGTGACACAGGCTAGGGTCTTGTGGTTTCAAGGACTGCTGCCGACGACAACGAAGATGAATACTATGCTGGGCTGCTGCTGCTGCTGCTGC